TATTTCATGGAAAAGGAGAGAAAGGAAAAGAGAATTGAATTTAATCACTTCTTTCCGAGGTCAGCAGCATCTCCCCATCAACCTGTGCTGACTGCTGCTGCTACACCTGGAATTTTATGGGAATTTTATGGGAATTATGGGAATTAGGTGTGAGCTGAAGGTTTCACATCCCAGAGAGGGAAAAACGCCCCTGTCCAGGGTGGTTCAGTCTCTCCATACACAAAGAGATGATGTCCCAAGGGAGATGCCTCTCTGCATTCCAACTCCAGGGATTCATCCCACTTGGCAGCCAAGTTCCCAGGAGTTCACTGGGGAGAAGGTGGATGGAGAAGGATGGATGAGTGGCAGGATCTGACTTGAGGAGAACAGGCTTCCCATGCCAAACAAATTCTTGACTAATTCCTTCTTCCAAGATTTCCAATCCAGTGAGCTGGCACCTGTCCCACANACATGGAATGGAGATGAAGGAGGGGAGAGTTAGGTTGGATTTATGGAAGGAATCCCTGGCTGGGAGGGTGAGCATGGCAGGGATGGAATTGCCAGAGCAGCTGTGGCTGCCCCTGGATCCCTGGCAGTGCCCAAGGCCAGGCTGGACACTGGGGCACCCTGGGACAGTGGGAGCTGTCCCTGCCATGGCAGGGGTGGAACAAGATGAGTTTTAAGCTCCCTCCCAATCCCATTCTGTGATTTTCTGATTCTAACTCGAAATCTGGGAATTCCAACCCACTCTTGTTTGAACTTTCTGGAGTAAATAGTTACAGGAATGCTGCTTCCAGCCTGGCAGGGAGCTCAAACCTTTCCTCTCTGAGCACTGCGCGTCTCGTTAGGAATATTGGCTTTGTGTTCCTGCAAGAAATGCTGGCTGTAAATGAAATGGATGCACACACAGCAATGGATATAAAAATATAATTCAATTATGTTCTATTACTTCGGTTCTGCCTTTCAAATAATGCCCCAAACTGGAGGAAATAATGTCCTTTCATTTCCATTCATCACAGCTGAGAGCCTTGTCAAGGACATGACTTGCTGCCTGTACTTTGATATTGCTATTAAATTATTGGGTTTCTTCTGCATTTCCAGTAATCCCTAAAGCCAATTGTGACATTTCCTCAATTCCATACATCCAGCCTAAATACCTCTATTTGTCTCTCTGTAATTATGACATGTTAGCAGTGGATTTTTTCGGGCTGCTCCAAGAATGACAGATGGATTTTCCTCCCCGTGCGATCCCAGCCTCAGCTCCCCATCCCAGGCAGCAGCAGACACTCCACCCCTTCAGATTCCCTCAACACCTTCATCTGATCCTTGAATAAATCCCAAAATGGCTTGGGTGGGATGGGACTGCCAGGATTATCGCATTCCACTCCCTGCAGGGCAGGGAAACTTTGCGCCCTCCCAGGTTGCTCCAAAACTCACGCAACCTGGAACATTCCAAGGGTGGAGCAAATACAGATTCTCTGGTCCAAAGTGCTTAGCCTTAATTAGCCTGGTCTAATTAAAAGTGTTGAGGAT